CTTGAAGGCCCAGACTTCCCTCAGTGGCTTAAAGGAACATAGTAAAGTGCTTCTCAGCCTAACTATTGTGTGTCTCTCTCTCCCATCCCCTCCATCAAAAGGGTAAGCTTGTCAGCCACAGACTGCTACATCGTGCATGAGATCTACAATGGGGAGAACGCCCAGGACCAGTTTGAGTACGAGCTGGAGCAGGCCCTGGAAGCCCAGTACAAGTACATTGTGATCGAGCCCACCCGCATCGGTGATGAGACAGCTCGCTGGATCACTGTGGGCAACTGCCTGCACAAGACGGCTGTGCTGGCGGGCACCGCTTGCCTCTTCACCCCCTTGGCATTACCCTTAGATTATTCCCACTACATCTCCCTGCCCGCTGGTGTGCTGAGCCTGTCCTGCTGTGCCCTCTACGGAATCTCCTGGCAGTTTGACCCATGCTGCAAGTACCAAGTGGAGTACGACGCCTATAAACTGTCCCGCCTGCCTCTGCACACACTCACCTCCTCCACCCCTGTGGTGCTGGTCCGGAAGGACGACCTGCACAGAAAGAGACTTCACAACACGATAGCACTGGCTGCCCTGGTGTACTGTGTAAAGAAGATTTACGAACTCTATGCAGTATGATTTCAGTAGAACAGGGAGAGAAGCAAAACAACCCAGCCCACGGGTGACAACAGAGTATTCAGATTGCCACAGTAACATTTTTTGCTCTGTGAGCCTGGGAAGGTGTTTGGTTTAATATTTGTTATTTTTTAAAAATAACACAGATCACGGGTGTACCAAGGGATTTTTCAACTCATTACACTAAGGTGTGGATTTCCATAACCGAAGAGGGGGTCTGAGGCTGTGGAAGTCTGACCGGGCAGTGGAGTGCTGATGAAAGCAAACGCTACTGAGGGGGTGTGAACGTGCTTTGGGGGGTGGGGGTCTTTAAGTATGTTGTTTAACTGTACCATCCAGAGCCAACCAGAAGCTATCGACCATTAAAATTATGAGAATTTCGGCTCCTGCTGTTCTCTGTCCATGACACTGTCTGGAGCTTGCTGTTGCACATCTGCTCTTGGTGGTAGCCTGCACATGGAACCAGCAGGCACTGTGGAAGCCACCCTGATCTCTGCCGCAGCCTGGTGTCACCACTGCAGCAAGAATGGGCCTAGATCCGAGGTGGTCCTCAGGCCAAACCCTGCCCGGAAGCAGTCTCCTGGCTCCTTGTCCTCATCATTTCCAAGGCCAGCACTGCTAATGTGCTGTTGAGGGACATGGTGGGATCAGGGGACAAGGCCTAGAGGTCACAAAGTCTCCATTTGAGTTCAGTTGGGGAATTTGGGGGCCCAGGACTCTTTCTCCATAGATTCTGATTTAGGGGAACACAGAAACTAACATCTGTATGTATATTTTTAAAGCACCAGAGCTGTTCCTGATGTGGACCCTGAGTTCAACCCCTTGCCCTAGGCCAAAGGAAGAGCCCTCAAAGCAGTCTTGGACACACCCCCGGCCTGGTGCTTCCTGTTCCACAGGAGCTGAGTCCTGGGCTTTTCTCTCACACTGAAAGGCATATCGCACGTCGTCTTCCACATTCCCTCTAAGACTTGGGATAAATGGAAGATTATCCCCTTAACTGCTACCTTCCTAAAGCCTCTGTTCCCTCATCCCTAAAGAGCCATACAACATTTCCTTCTGAGGGGATAATCTTTAAGTGACAACCAAATTGAGTTTTCACCTAGTTATAAAGGACCCATCAGGAAGCTCAGATGCCACAGAGCAACAAAGGGCTGCTTAACCTGGGGTGCACGGGAAGGCTTCAAGGGGCTTAAGGGGATGGTTGGGCCTTTTTTTTTATAAGGGAGAACCAGAGATTTAAAAAGATAGCCCACAAAGTTTAAGAAACTTGGCTTAATTCCAAGGGCACTCAAAGGTGATTAGTGACTGCTGGGTGGCAAAATGGTGTTAGGTGCACACGATTGTTTACGTGGCAGTCTTTGGCCATCTGGAACAGTGGTAAAGATGTAACTGCATTCACCACACAAAAGTGATCCCAGACAAACATACCTCATTTTGACTACAGTGTGAGTTAAAATCCAGGTGTCCACACTCCTCAGTTGTCTGAATGCTGACTTCCAAGCCTGCTGGGCAGGAATGGTAGATGTTTTTGTAACAGGCCCAGATTTGGAAAGGGAGCCCTGTGCCTGGCCTGGAAGTGCTCTGCCTGCAAATCAGATTTCATGGGGGAGATGGCTGGAAGCAGGCAAGTCATGGCGACCTCAAGTCAGCTGAGCAGAAGCCATCACCCAAAATAGAAACCAGGTGCAAATGGGTGGCTCTTTCGCTATTTCCCAAGCTGCACTGAACAAAGTGATTCTTGTTGGGTAGACTAACCCAGATTCTGAAGTGCCATCTTAGTTACATGGCCCCTGGCCAGGGAGATGAAGACAGGTTTGGTGTGCCTAGGGCAGGGCGATGGGGAAGAGAGAAGCAACACACCTCGCTCCCTTTGCTCCTGCCACTGTCGCACTGAGAGGAGCAGCCGCATCAGAGTTGGTGACGAGTGGCCTGTGTTCATTGGTGATGTGCCACAGTGTTTTTGAACAGACAGCATTCAATAACTGCCAATTGAGAGAAAGCAGAAACCAAGTTACCTGGGCTCTCCTGTGCAAAATCACAAATGAGTCCTACGTGAATTCAGAGAATAGATCATGTAATTAATGTAGTAAATTAATCTGGTTTTAACTACCTATCCCCACCCCAATTTCAGAGAATAGCGAAGAGGCTTTGTGTGAAAGGACAACTGAGCAGGAAATGTAGCGGAGTGGACCCAGGCAAGCTTTTTCTCACTGCAGTGTGCCCAGGTGGCTGTGCATTCACCATGTGCACAGTGACTCACGAGTGAGCTACAGCCCCTCTGCACTGCACAAACTATTTGGTTTCATTTTTCAGTCTCTGGTTTTGGCATGAAGCACAGGATGGCCTGCTTCTGCCCTGGGACCGGTGAAACCAAAAAAGGCTTGACAAGCAAAGTGGAAAGCGTCTTTGAACTTTATCAGATATATAAAGGTAGAACCAATTAAAAATCTTGCTTTTCAGACCTCCCCAGCAGAATTCAAGGATGAAAGAGGGGACCAGGGTGAAAAAAAAGACAAAACCAAAAAACCTTTGAGAGCAGAAAAAAGAAACTAGAACAGCAGCAACACCACCTCCCCTGGTGGCAAATGTTCATGTTCATATTCAAACACCAGTTTGAAAAGTCCAAGAGCAAAATGAAAGGTTGCTCCAAGGCCATTAGCTGAAGGCCAAGTCTGGCTGAGCTCCCCTCTGAAATGCAGGCTCTTTGGCTGGCAGTACGGGTAAGGAGCTCATCCACAGGAAGGCACTCATGCTGCTGTCCAAGTTAGGACAACTCTAAAGGCTCAGTAAGTCCCACATTTATCCAAACCACTGCTCTCTCCAGGAAGGGAAGCATAACTCCAGGGAAACCTGAGATGACCTGCTTTAGAATTACAGCCCACCTGGCCAGGTTCTGATTGTTTCATTTCTAAAGAACGCCTAGGGCCATGCAGGGTTCTCTTCTCCC